GTGAAACAAGCTCACCTGGCGTTTCACCTCTGACTGTGAAAGCCCTTCCCCATCGCCCCGGGAACACAGCGTTCATCTGAAGTCCTGTTATATATATGTTTTCAATGGATCAGTTGTGGAAATTAACCGGATGCTCGACGCCGCATGGTTCTTGTACGTGAAGTAATACCAGGTCCAGTGTTGTCCTACAACAGGGAGTGACACGGAGGTGTTTCTCCTGTACACAACGAATGGAAAGGTCATCAGCTTTGGTTTGCAAGACAGCGTGAAATCACGAGGCGGTATCACGCAAGGAAAACCGAGACTGTCATGAACTCGTTTTTCTCATCTCCAGGTGGTTGATTTGATTCCGAATACCGTAATGAAATGTATACAAGAGATTCCAATTATGTATGTAACGTGATGAATATAATATTGGATTGAGTTCTCGACATTAGTTACGTTACCTCCATGAACATACTTGAGCCTATCTGTGTGCATATACGTCGTATAACCACAATGGGTAGGCTTACCGTGTTTGTCTGCTATAATAATTGATGCATGCTGTTTTTGCTATGGTAACCAATAGTTCCACGTGGGTGGCACTTTAAAGTCAGCATGGAGATAACAGACAGCGCATCTTCTTGTGTTCTTGAGAGAGTGAATGGGTTTGGTTCATTGCTGCGTTGAGTACTATATCCGTTACATCACTGCATGCCATTTTATGTGGGAGGAAAACCCGAAGCGATGCAGATCTTAATTGAGTGCCACGTGTGTTAGTGGTTGTGTGAGTTTGGGTTAACGCCGTTTTTAACAGCATTCTTGTTTTATCACGGCGTAGCTACGTGTGGGAGGTACGGCCGAAATGAGTGAGTTTTGTTTTACGCCACACTAAACAATATTCCAGCTATATGGCAGCGGTCTGTAAATAATCGAGCCTGGACCAGACAACCCAGTGATCAACATCATGAGCATCGATCTACACAATTGGTAACTGATGACATGTATCAACTAAGTCAGCGAGCCTGACCGCCCGATCCCGTTAGCCTCTTCTTACGACAAGCATGGGTTACGGAAGATCAATTCTAACCCGGATCTTCACGGGTTCGCCCGAAGTGACGCGGATGTTACGGGAGTGCGACGTTTGTTAGTGATTAGGTGCGTTTAGGTTAACACCACTACGGCGTACGTGCATGTGGGTGGTACGAAGTGATGAAGATCAATATCATTTGTGGCGTCCACGACAATGGGTATGGTGCTGTCAAACCGGGATTCGAACCTATGATCAAAGGTTTCTGAATTGCCCAAGGAACGCAACTAACACAACACATGACAACCTGTGCCCTTAAACCGATATGGGGAACCCCTGTCTGTTATTGTCTATCGTAGTGGAGTGTGTAAGTGAGTAAGTATGTGTGGTTTTACGCCGCAGTTTGCAATATTCTAGCAATATCGCGGTGGGGATCACCAGAAATGGGCTTCACACATTTACACCAAGTTTGGAAACGAAACCGGGTCTTCGGCGTGACAAGCGAAAGCTTTAACCACTAGGCTACCCCACAGCCCCCACCATGATGAGACGTAAATCCCAAATTCGAACCTGAACTCCACTTATTCCCATAATTAAGGTTTTTGCTAAAATAACGGACCAGGGTCTTAGTGGTTTTGTGCCATGCTACCGTGGTGAGTGAGTGTTGTTTTACGGCGCCTATGCAGTATTCACACCTGAAATGGGCTTCATGTTTTCTTTCCTAAGGGGGGTGTGTGGGGGGTGGGGTGGGGGGTTGACCGGTTCTTTGGCGTAACAAGCAAAAGGCGTTAATCACTATGTTATTCAACCGCCCGGCAATCTGCCTTGGAACAAAATAAACTACATGTGGCGGCAAAGAGAAGAATTCATTTAAAAACGTTTCCTTGTAACGCTGTCTATTTCTGTCTTATATCAAAATGCACAGACAGCAAATATACATTTATTAATAAGGACACAACTCTCACCGTAACGCTTTGACGTCAATACCAATATCCATGATTAATGTTGAAACTGAAGCCATGCATATTATGCAGGAAGAATTCAGTTCCTTACATTACGGGCTTGCTCGATTGACTGTGCCTCCTGCATTTCATTCAGGAAATACTAAATCATTTTCACAATCAGCATGTAATGTAATTTTTAGCTTAATAAATCATTTTGTCCGAGACGAAGATTATTTAAAGAAACTACATACATGGAGTGATTGAGTAAAGGTACAAACTCGGCATGGTTTTCAGCCATAGTGTGAAGAAAACTTGTAATGGGATATAAACCTGTTTTGAACAGAAAGTCAAGTATCCTTTTGAAAAACCATGCTTCTCAAAGTTTGCAAAGGACACCTTTAAAGATGAGCATCTGATGAAATAGCTTAACACAACATTGCGCGAGGACATGTTAAATGAACGAAAACCCTTTTTGCATGACCAAAAACTGAAACTAAAAAACTCACGAATTCATTGTTAAAAAATAAACAATCAAACACAACAACTCTCGGTAGGGCGTCTGTGATAGGGTCATAGCCCGGGAGCATCGTCTCATACTTGTGTTACACGTCTGGATGGTTGCCAAGGGAAGATTGTTAAACTTTTCATTACCACCACTGCTAAGATCTTCTAGAATTGCTGGAAGGATAGGGCGTCGCGAGAGGGCGAACTGCAGTTCATTGCCGTCGATATGGTTTAGGGCTGGTGACCAGGCTGGTCACTCCATGCGGACAATCGTCTCTTTCAAGGTAGGCATCAACGATCCTGTCGGTGTGCGGTCGAGCGTTATTGTTCATGAGGATACGTTGGGTCCAAATGCATCAGCATGTAGTATAAATCCAGAATGTCGTCTTTGTAGAACACACCTTTCACTGTGTGACTGTGCTTGAGCACCACTCCAAATCATGATTGAGCTCCCACCTTAGAGGTCATGGTAGGCTATGTTCATTTTTCTACTCATCTGCGTAACATCAGGGCAAGACGTTCTATGAGGTCTAGACATTTTCCGCACCCAGCCCTGGTCTGTCCAACTGACGTGATCTTCAGCCCAATCCAAACGTGCATGTCTGTGATTTAGGATCAGTGGGATTCAGGAGGCATGCCCTCTGTGACCGGAGACCAGAAAATACCTAGACGATTGAACACTTTCTGAGTAGAAACGTTAACGCGTTCTCCAGGTCATTTCTGAGTTTGTCGCCATTCACGAAGCGATGACTTCATTCGGCAACCAAGAGAAACATGTCTTCTTGTGAGGTGGAACCACCTGTATATGGCTTATCCAAACTTCTGGCAGCTGATCCAAACTTCTGGTAGCTGATCCAAACTTCCGGTAGCTGATCCAAACTTCAAACTTCTGGCAGCTGATCCAAACTTCTGGTAGCTGATCCAAACTTCTGGTAGCTGATCCAAACTTCTGGTAGCTGATCCAAACTTCTGGTAGCTGATCCAACTTCTGGCAGCTGATCCAAACTTCTGGTAGCTGATCCAAACTTCTGGTAGCTGATCCAAACTTCTGGCAGCTGATCCAAACTTCTGGTAGCTGATCCAAACTTCTTGATCCAAACTTCTGGTAGCTGATCCAAACTTCTGGTAGCTGATCCAAACTTCTGGTAGCTGATCCAAACTTCTGGTATCCCTTTCATGACCTGCAGTCAACAAGGTCGAATCAACGTGACGTCATGTGTGGCCAGTGTACAGCATGCCTATATATCCGCCAAGCTCTTCGATCGTCAAACGACGTGTTTGTTGATGAAGGGGTATACGTGCACTCAATTGCTTGCATCAGCAGCAAATGTTGTGGTCTCTGGTAACGATTTGTAAAGGATATGTCACGATAAATCAAGTTTTGAAGCACTTCGTGCATATCCTGCTTTGATGCATGCCTTCTTCAGTTCATTCTGAGTTTAGATTACGACGCACTCAACAATATTCCAGCTATATGGCAGCGGTCTGTAAATAATCGAGCCTGGACCAGACCACCCAGTGATCAACATCATGAGGATCGATCTACGCAATTGGGAACCGATGACACGTGTCAACCAAGTCAGCGAGCCTGACCACCCGATCCCGTTAGTTGCCTCTTACGACAATCATGTGTTACTGAAGACCAATTTTAACCCGGATCTTGACGGGGGGAGGGTGGGGAGTAACCATTCAATGTGTATCGGACTATCAGCCAATTTGTGGGATGACTTTTTTGACATCATCAAAACATGCTCCTTAGCAAAATATGAGCGGTATAGAGAACTATCATGTGTATGCCTGTGAGAGTACACAGCGGCTATTTTCAACAGGGATTCAACACTGAGAGGAAAATACGTTGTTATATAAGATAGATAATGACACAGAATCAAAATTCAGGAGTAATACGAAGAGAGGCATTTTATTCCAGCTCCATGTACGTCGATGAATTTTTGCGAGTTTTATTGCTAAAAGAGTTTTTGTGCGACATTAAGCTAGAAAACCCTGTCTGATCAGCTAAGATGATGGGCCATATTTAGCACCGGGAGCCTCTGGAAGGAGAGACTGTGTACATAGTCTGGCTTACCTACTTTCTTTTTTATATCCACGTATTGTGTATACATATGAGATCCTGTGAAATGTAGGTCATGTATGTCACGTGATCGATGTAAACTGATTCCTATGAAAAAAGGGCATGAGTTAACTTGATGATATACGTTGAAACAAATAAATGAACAGTTTACTACATTTTAAATAAAACATTCAGAGCCTAACTCGAGTATTTACAGAAGTAATTGGTTGAAAATGACAAAATAATAATAATGGCATTTATATTGCGCTGTCTTTACGCCATGAAGGTATGCTCAAAGCGGATCACACATTATTGCCCTGGATAACCCGGATACAATAGTTGTGATGACAATCATACGAAATAAATGATGATACCAGATGTTTTCGAAAAGTGTAAACTTATCCCACAAGTCTTAAGCAGAAGAGACGTGCAGTTGACGCCTAATCAAGAACTGATTAGTGTTTTTATGTTTCAGATTCTTCGAGCAGCAGCAAGAAATGAAGAAACTGTTTAAGAGGCTGTTGTCAAATACAGAATCTGGCAACTTTATTTTTGACGACGATAGGCTTCGAGGGCATGCCCGGATCGTTATGAACAGTTTAGGGGCTGCAGTTGACAGCCTGGATGATTCCTCCAGTTTGAGCAGCATGTTGGTGTCACTGGGAGAGAAACACGCGGCCTACAACGTGAAAGGGGAAATGATTTCAGTACGTGATTATGTCTTTAATCTCTAGATTGGTGTGATGCATACAAATAGCTCTACATTACTTAATCAAACACAGTCCTGTTGGCACACAATGGAGTGTCATTGCATCCGTTTAGTTCAGACCTTTCTGGTGCTTGAAGTGCATGTGGAATTTCTTATAAGCATGTGGTGCACTGAGACTGCGTTAAGTTGGTTGGCTGGTTGTTTAATACCGCACTCAGCAGTATTCCAGCTATATGGCGGTGGTCTGTAAATAATCGAGACCAGACAATCCAGTGATCAACAGCATGAGCATCAATCTACGCAGTTGGGATACGATGACATATGTAAACTACCTGATCCCGTTAGTCGCCTCTAACGACAAGCATTGGTTACTGAAGACCAATTCTAACCCGGAAGTTCACGCGTCGGCTGCGTTAAGCAATATTTACTCATTGAATACATGAGAAGCATAACGTATGCATCACATACATGCATAACAGCACGTGGTCATGGCGGTCACGTTGAGCAGGACAATGAGCTGATGTGCGTCACACTACCCTTTCGGTGTGGTCTGTTGTCCATTCCCTATCTTTGCAGTTCTGAATGTAACTGTTTACCAGCCGGAGTGATATATACTGCTCAAAACAGTATGAGGAGATCATCCACATTTGGAAGGCCCCTTTTAAGAGATAAACATCATTTGTTGGCCAATTTCCGGGTGTTATTGAGTATTTGAAGCACGGGAATTCATTTGGAACCGAAGGCGTAAGCCGGAGGTTTCAAATGAAATATTCCCGTGCTTCAAATACTCAATACTCAATATGATTTGAATGACGTCACCACTGCTGACGACGCAACAATACAATTGTGTGCGATATTTGTATGTGTCAATACGCAGCGAATAGTCTTTAAATTTCCGGGAATGTAATACCATTCGATCATGCTTTTCAACCAATCAGATTCAAGAACATGGTGACTTTTGGTTTACAATTTGCATTGCCCACCCAACATGGCAGTTGTACAGCTCCAGTATTGCTGAAGTCTGAGACAAATATACACAAATTGCCTTTTGAGGTTTTGATTTTGATTTTGATTATTTAAGTGTAAAAAAGAATAGTATATTACAGTACCATACGTTTCCTTATTGAAGAATTAATAACTGAGTACCTGCAGCTGTTTATGTTGGAGAGAACTGAGCTCAAAATCATCAGAAAATAAATGCTGATCACAAGCCAAAATCCCCATCCCGATCCTCTGAAAATCAAATTGCTGCTCCCTAAATGGATATCAATACAGAGATCGATCTAACTCAATTATAACGTATAGTCGATTAAATCGTGTGTATGTTTGGCCTATAATCGCCACACAGATAGCAACTTTGCACTTTACTTTCTTTTGATATAAAGGAAGCTTGATAGATCCTGAAAATTAGGACATTATCATCCATTACCTAAGGTGTCAGTTTCTCCCGTGGCTTGTTATAATGGGATTGCACCGACTGATACCGTACCTGGAGTGAAAGGACGATTAAAGGGTATGAAACCAGCTTCCTGTTCGACTCATCGCTCTAGTCACGTTACTTCACACCTTGATGCATATTTAATTACAATAACACCATGCCATTAGTTTCTATTCGTCTTGAACAGAATAATGCATCGTTGAATATTTATGATTGGTATGAAAAGATAATAGCTTCTCGTATGTTAGACTATATATGACCTTCCTACATAGAGTATGTCATCGTCGATATGTAGTATCAGTAATATGGAAGAAAAATATAATTTGGCACCCGGTGTTCTGAAGCAGATTGTTTGCCGGACATATTAATGATAATGATGACAACGTAGACATATTCGGCTCCTATTTTCTGAGAAAACAATATATAATTTAGACTGACTGACTGAATTTGGTTTTACGCCGCTTTTAACAATATTCCAGCAATATCACGGCGGGGGACACCAGAAATGGGTTCCACTCATTGTACCCATGTGGGATTCGAACCCGGGTCTTCGGCGTGGCCAGCGAACGCTTTAACCACTAGACTACCCCACCGCCCTATAATTTAGATGTTTTGAAGCAATGAAGAATACCATGGCTCCGATAGTGTTTGTTCTGTCAGGAGGGTTAATGTATTCCGTGTGCCAGAAACCAAAACCATGTTCTCGAAACCGATGAAAACTCTTCAGGTACTTTAATATAGACGTTAATTAAACGATTAAATGAAGCTCAAGTATCAATTTGGAATGTATGTTTCATTATGCAGTTATTTTGAATTGTACATGATATAAATTATAGTTGAATTATAATTTCAGTTTTTGATAGTCACGTGTTTTATATCCAGTAGGGAGCCCGGGCCAGTTGGCTTTGTGTAAAGTTAATCCCAGAATATGTTTCCTGGTTTGTGCGCACAATATCCGCCGTATTACCTTCACCAATGTAGCAAACACCCGAGGCCTGCTCTACCTCGGGATTCGGTCACATACCCTGATATAACTGACTGACTGACTGAGTTTGGTTTTACGCCGCTTTTAGCAATATTCCAGCAACATCACGGCGGGGGACACCAGAAATGGGCTTCACATATTGTACCCATGTGGGGATTCGAACCCGGGTCTTCGACGTGACGAGCCAACGCTTTAACCACTAGGCTACCCCACCGCCCTGATATAACTGAAAACGTGTTGAAAGTGTTACATCAAATACCCTCGTTTACATCGGTGATCTAAAGTGCCTTTGTGTATATTGCGTCTTCAAATCTATGACAATGGATTACTTTGACAAGTAAAATGTTGCGATACAAACAGGGGCGGTGGGGTAGCCTAGTGGTTAAAGCGTTGGCTCGTCACGCCGAAGACCCGTGTTCGATTCCCCACATGGGCACAATGTGTGAAGCCCATTTCTGGTGTTCCCCGCCGTGATGTTGCTGGAATATTGCTAAAAGCGGCGTAAAATTAAACTCAGTCAGTCACTCAGTTGCGATACAAACAAACTTCAAAGAAAACGTCACGACAGGTTTAGTTAGACAAAAACTACCATTCTAACAGAGAATTGGTCGTAGATAAAAAACAAACAAACAAATATTTTAGAACTCTATTAAAACATCAATCAAACCTTAGCAAGAGGACAAATAACACCGGGAATTGATCAAATTGCCTTTACGCAAAAAGACCCGAGCAATTTCAAAAGTTTTTTTCGTCAAACGATTGTGTCCTGTTCTTTAAAACGGTTATCTGCTGATTCAACTAAAGACAAAAAAGACAAAAACCGAAGCGTCAAACATCTACCGAACAGAAGAAACGGCAAGGAATACGGATGCCTACAAATTCTGTTGACAACTGTATAACCCCCAACTGTGACACGTCCATGCTCTTACAGCCTAAAACCATGCTGCCATTGAGATTGTTTTTTATATACTCTAGTTCACAATTATAGAAGCGTACATATGCCGTTTTTTCTAATAGTCTTATGAGAGAAAAGTAGTCATCTTGTTTGGCTTGGATATATTCTTCGAATGACGCCCATAACCAATCTTTTTTATTATGTTGCAGTTTCTTTGGCCCGCTATAAGAGACGCGATGAAGGTTAAACTCGGCGACCAGTTCACGCAGGAGACGGAGTTAGCATGGCGTCATGTTTTTGAATATATAAAAAGCAATTTATCTGAAGGCATCAAGCAAGGGGAGCTAGAACTTATGGAAACGGGGGAAAACAATTCCGTGGTGTTTTAACAATGCCTCCCAAACAGCCTGATTTGAATGTTCAAGCAACTACGACGTCCCACAGAGATCAATACAAGGCCAAGGAGTGACTGGTGTCATTATGTTTGCGCATTATGCAGACATAGAATGTTCAACAGAAGATTTAATTAACTGTCACAGATATTTTGCCAATCCTTTATCAAGTTATGTGGCATCAGACATGGCGGGGGAAGATCCGTGCCCAGGAGAGAGATGAGTAACGAGACATGCACCGAACGGATGCCCTACAGAAAGTTTGAGCGCGAACATGCGCCAATCAATCTCATAATACTCCTTTATTACCGTGCTTCAAGCGAGAGATGTGATTCAATTTTTAGTTCATCTCAAATACCTCTTGAAATGCCAATCACAATGTAGCAAATATTTAGCAAGAAAAAAATCCTTTCCTTCGACAAAAATGCCAGCTTAGATTGAAAGAAGCTATCATTGTTCATGTATTAATGTTGGATTTTGGAGACGGTTGTAGTCTTGTGGTTCGAGTCAGATTTGCCAAGACTACAACCTAATAATATGTATCCGCATTTACGTATAACAGATTGTGGTATGAAGCAATGTTGTAAAAGACAGAGGTATCAGAATGTGAATAATCTGTGATTCTGTTGGAATAGGTCATAGTCTGTCACTGACCGCTGCGTGAACATTAGGTGACACGTTACCGAACATGGACCTACGATGTCTCATGTGTCCTTTTATGAGAATATTGCATATATTGTGCTTGACCTAGACATTCTACGAAACGTTATTGTGTTCATTGTTCATTGTTTCTTGACGTCATAATCTGTGGCACCGAGCGACGTCATACTCAACACGCTGACGTCGAAACGTTTATTTGTGAAGTCCATATCATTCAAGCAAGATATAATATGTGTGTGAATAACTTTGGATGATGAAAGTTTGAACGCGATGTCAACAAAATAAATGTCTCATTCCCTCATGCCCTGTTCTTACCTTCCTGAAGTCTGTCCACATAGGTCCAATGTGCGAGGCGGCATCTTCAAGGCAGTAGATAAGGTAGAAGATTGGGGGATTCTTTCGGATAACACATTCATCGATTCTATCAACCTGGATTTGAACTGGATACATTGTGAGTGACAATCTGGAATTGAAATCGAAAGCAGAATAGTTCTCTGGAAACAAAATTGATATTTATGTTCACTGTCAATATTGTGTCGTTTCTCTGTGAACGAACCCTCTCGGATGATATATTATATATATATAGTAAGTAAATGGTAAGTCCAGATGTTGTCATGTTTTGCTTCCTATCAGTATTCTACCCCTGGCCACAGTCTACAGTAAATATAGCACTAAAGGACAGTACTATAATCTATTGGCAACTGGTGGCATAGGCTGCCATTACTGTCACAGAGGTGAGCCCTTATCAACGTAGGCCGACGGGCAGTTGTAATTAGACGTGAGGTCTTTTAGTATATTCTCTTAGACTCTCGATAGTAAATGTAGTCATGGAGACGGATGAACTTGAAGGGTCCATATAAATACGATCCACTGGAGGATGGGGAAAGTAGAACATTGTATTATAATTATAATACCCTGCAAAAGTGTTGCTGGTACTGATACACGTAAAGCATCACTGCTGTAAAGTCTGGGTTGAGGCCTTTCTTGATATTACCTTGAATGTGGAAAAACGATTACTTTGAACTTTTCGAACAGCATATACATAGAAAACCATTCCTTCCGCTTTTACTGATTGTTATTGGGAAGTGAATCCTGAGTATGCTAATGCTCATCACTCCTAACGTCCCTTTGCAGGTCTATACTGGTGTCATTTCTTGTGTGCACAATACACCCATGTGTGCAGGGCCTCTACTGGTGTCAGTCCTAGTCCGCATGGTGCGTTCATGGGCGCAGGTCCTATGTTGGTGCACAGCCCAGTTGGCACAATGCACCCATGTGTGCAGACCACATACTGGTGACAGTCCTAGTGTGCATGATACACCCATGTGTGCAGACCACATACTGGTGACAGTCCTAGTGTGCATGATACACCCATGTGTGCAGACCACATACTGGTGACAGTCCTCGTGTGCATGATACACCCATTTGTGCAGGTCCTATGTTGATGCACGCCCAGTCTGAATGATACACCCATGGGAGTAGGTCCAAGATTGATGTCACCCCTGGATACATGATACATGATAGCATGATACGCCCATGTTCCTATGTTGATGCAACTTCGGTGTTCATGATACACCCATGTGTGCAGGTCCTATGTTGGTGCACACCCCAGTTGGCACGATACACCCATGTGTGCAGGTCCTATACTGGTGTCAACCCCAGCACACAGAATACATATAGTGGTACCATCTCTTGTTTGCATGATACGCCCATGTGAGTAGGTCCAATATTGGTGTCACCCCTTTTGACACGATACACTCATGTGTGCAGGTCCTATGTTGGTGCACACCTCAGTTGGCACAATACGTCCTTGTGTGCAGGTCCTATACTGGTGTCAACCCCAGCACATAGAATACATATAGTGGTACCATCTCTTGTTTGCATCATATGCCAATGTGTGCAGGTCCGGTGTTGGTGCACACCCCAGTTGGCACAATACGTCCATGTGTGCAGGATGCACACTCATGCCACCCCTTCTGTGCACGATACTCCCATTTGTGCATGTACTATACTAGTGCCACCCGAAGTGAGCATGGTACATTCTGGAAGGTCCTATGTTGTGGTGGTCCTCTGACGGTGTCACTCTTATTGCCCACGATACGTCCGTATGTGACTGACTCATACTGGTGCCCACGATCCCAAATATGCATAATACTTCCATATTTAAGTCATGTACTGTACGCCCATGTGTGCAATTCTTGTTTTGATGTCCATCACCACTTGTATACATTATGCGTCTATGTCTACAGATCCTATACTGGTGCTCACGACTCACGTTATGCCAGACCCAAGACAATATACGACCTAGGTATCAGGTCCTATATACTGGTGTACACCATCCAAGTATGGATTATTGAATGTGCAGGTCCTATTAGGTGCCCATCGTCCCTAGAATGCGTTATATTCCTTTGCGTAAAGGTTCGTTCTGGTGCTTCACACTCTTATGACCGCTCCATGGTCAGACAATAGAGCGTTGTACAGTGTGCGGAAGGCTGATGGTCATACCAAAAGCGGTTAAAATGGAACTTATTGTTACATACCCTAAACAAGGGCTGGTCGGAGTGCAGTTAGTATATATCTATGTTAAACTGCAGCATGATATCTTCGTGGGCTAACGCTATATAACCAGCACTATCTTTAACAAGTGCAAGCAGTACACGTACATGTGCATTCGCGTCGTTATATTAGTGTAAAAAGTATTCCACGTGACGTTAACACCCATTTCACCCCACCTCTAATGAACCACTGTTTCCGGTCCACCATCCCCTGATGCACCACTGTTTCCGGTCCACCAATCCCTGATGCACCACTGTTTCCGGTCAACAATCCCCTGGTGGACCAATGTTTCCGGTCCACCATCCCCTGATGCACCACTGTTTCCTGTCCACCATCCCCTGATGCACCACTGCTTCCGGTCCACCATCCCATGATGCACCACTGTTTCCGGTCCACCATCCCATGATGCACCACTGTTTCCGGTCCACCATCCCCTGATGTACCACTGTTTCCGGTCCACCATCCCCTGATGCACCACTGTATCCGGTCCACCATCCCCTGATGCACCACTGTTTCCGGTCCACCATCCCCTGATGCACCACTGTTTCCGGTCCACCATCCCCTGGTGCACCACTGTTTCCGGTCCACCATCCCCTGATGCACCACTGTATCCGGTCCACCATCCCCTGATGCACCACTGTTTACGTTCCACCATCCCCTGATGTACCACTGTTTCTGGTCCACCATCCCCTGATACATCACTGTTTCCGGTCCACCATCCCCTGATACACCACTGTTTCCTGTCCACAATACCCTGAATGCACAAATGTTTCCGGTTCACCATCCCCTGAATGCACAAATGTTTCCGGTCCACCATCCCCTGATGCACCACTGTTTCCGGTCCACCATCCCATGGTGCACCACTGTTTCCGGTCCACCATCCCCTGATGCACCACTGTTTCCTGCCCACAATACCCTGAGTGCACAAATGTTTCCGGTCCACCATCCCCTGATACACCACTGTTTCCTGTCCACAATACCCTGAATGCACAAATGTATCCGGTTCACCATCCCCTGATGCACCAATGTTTCCGGTCGACCATCCCCTGATGCACCACTGTTTCCGGCCCACCATCCCCTGGTGCACCATTGTTTCCGGTCCACCATACCCTGAATGCATAATGCGCCCTTCTGTGCAGCTCCAATAGTACTGCCCACCAACCGTAGTGTGCAGTATAAACAACGTATAGTCCTACACCGCATACACATCTGGGAAGAGGTCCTGTAGTGTTGCTCAACCCTCCGCGTGTGCAGTATACGTCTCTTTGTACTTGGTCTATACTCCCGACACTAAAATCCTATAATACTTTGTGAAGTTATAACTATATATGCTGTTATCTCCCATATTAAACTGCAGTCTGTAAGGTCTTATACTGTCGACACTCACCCCTTGTCTGCAGTATACACCTTTATATACTGTTATCCCCTAACCATAAACTGCAGCCTGTACAGGTCCTATACTGTCGACACCCACCCCTTGTCTGCAGTATACACCTTTATATACTGTTATCCCCTAACCATAAACTGCAGCCTGTACAGGTCCTATACTGTCGACACCCACCCCTTGTGTGCAGTATACACCTCTATATACTGTTATACCCTAACAATAAACTGCAGTCTGTATAGGTCCTATACTGTCGACACCCACCCCTTGTGTGCAGTATACACCTCTATATTCTGTTATACCCCCCAATCATAAACTGCAGTATGTATAGGTCCTATACTGTTGACACCCACCCCTTGTGCGCAGTATACACCTCTATATACTGTTATCCCCTAACCATAAACTGCAGTCTGTATAGGTCCTATACTGTCGACACCCAACCCTTGTGTGCAGTATACACCTCTATATACTGTTATCCGCTAACCATAAACTGCAGTCTGTATAGGTCCTATACTGTTGACACCCACCCCTTGTGTGCAGTATACACCTCTATATACTGTTATCTCCTAACCATAAATTGCAGTCTGTACAGGTCCTATACTGTCGACACCCACCCCTTGTGTGCAGTTTACACCTCTATATACTGTTATCCCCTAACCCATAAGCTGCAGTCTGTATAGGTCCTATATTGTTGACACCCACCCCTTGTGTGCAGTATACACTTCTATATACTGTTATCCCCTAACCATAAACTGCAGTCTGTATAGGTCCTATACTGTTGACACCCACCCTTGTGTGCAGTATACACCTCTATATAATGTTATCTCCTAACCATAAACTGCAGTCTGTATAGGTCCTATACTGTCGACACCCACCCCTTGTGTGCAGTATACACCTCTATATACTGTTATACCCTAACAATAAACTGCAGTCTGTACAGGTCCTATACTGCTGACACCCACCCCTTGTGTGCAGTATACACCTCTATATTCTGTTATCCCCCCCAATCATAAACTGCAGTCTGTATAGGTCCTTTACTGTTGACACCCAGCACTTGTGTGCAGTATACACCTCTATATACTGTTATCCCCTAACCATAAACTACAGTCTGTATAGGTCCTATACTGTCGACACCCACCCCTTGTGTGCAGTATACACCTCTATATACTGTTATCCCTAACCATAAACTGCAGTCTGTATAGGTCCTATACTGTTGACACTCCACCCTTGTGTGCAGTATACACCTCTATATACTGTTTCCCTAACTGCATATACTGCAGTCTACCCCGCAGTATGTATCTATATACTGTTATCCGCTAACCATAAACTGCAGTCTGTATAGGTCCTATACTGTTGACACCCACCCCTTGTGTGCAGTATACACCTCTATATACTGTTATCCCCTAACCATAAACTGCAGTATGTATAGGCCCTATACTGCTGACACCCACACCTTGTGTGTATACCTCTATACAATGTTGACCCTAACCCTGCAGTCTGTATAGGTCCTATACTGTTGACACCCAGCCCTCGTGTGCAGTATACACCTTTATATACTGTTATCCCCTAACCATAAACTGTAGTATGTACAGGTCTTATACTGTCGACACTCACCCCTTGTGTGCAGTATACACCTCTATATACTGTTATCCCCTAACCATAAAC